TTAGGGTGCACTCAATTCCCACTTCCAGATCATCAATAAAGATGCTAAAAAGGACCAGCCCCAATACTGAGGCATGGGGAAAGTAAAGGATTATATCTGTCTCATCACACCGCTAGTGATCAGCCACCAATTGGATTTAGCTCCATTAACCACAGCTCTCTGGGCTCAGCCATCCCACCAGTTTTTTACCCTTTGAAGAGTCCATCCATCCAAGCCATCAGCAGTCAGTTTTTCTAGAAGTATGCTGTGGGACACAGCATCAAATGTCTTGCTAAAGTCCAGGTAGACCACATTCAGTCTTCCCTTCATCCAGTAACTGGGTCACTTTGTCATAGAAGGAGACCATCCATCCAAGCCATCAGCAGTCAGTTTTTCTAGAAGTATGCTGTGGGACACAGCATCAAATGTCTTGCTAAAGTCCAGGTAGACCACATTCAGTCTTCCCTTCATCCAGTAACTGGGTCACTTTGTCATAGAAGGAGACCAGGCTGGTCAAGCAGGACCTTTCTTTCATAAATATGTGTTGGTTGTACTTGATCCCCTGGTTGCCCCACATGTACTGTTTGAAGGCACTCAGGATGATCTCCATGAAAGTTATCATATGTATTATCTGTATGAAAGAGTCATCTTATTTTAAAAACGTAGTTCACAAGCTGTTTCTGTAATATCCTTTCTGCTGAATGATTGACATCCTAACACAACATTTAAAAAATACATATTTTATAGAGTTATATAATTTGCATATATATATATATATGTTTTTATGTTTGCATCTGAAGGGATATGCATAGCCCAACTGAACTGTCTGCTATTTCTCTTTGATCTCATCTATTACAGAAATTAATTAGCCCTTTTACATTTTAAGATACTTTTGGTGATTTTTTTTCTTGAACTGATATAGTTCTCAGATATACATAAAGGTGTAGGTAATGCACAGGCATATCGTTCCTGGTTTAGATCATATATATTAGATGTATATATATATATAGAATCACATAAGAAAGACACACTCAAATACCAAAGTTGTGTGTTGAAGAACTGGGAGACATCAAGGTTATACCTGCCTATGAAGTAACAGTTTGACTCCATCTTATGCTTTGAATCAAGAATTCAAAGTGAATTCTGGTGATGCTGGAAATGAACATATAATACAGATTCAAATTAAACCCACAATGATAATTTCAGATCAAGCATTTTATTATAATTGGGACTTTGTTTTGGCAGGTAAATTAACTATTCACTAATGCATATCATAAAGCTAAATTCATAGGCTCTGTTTCCCTGTATACAAAAGGGTAAAAAGCTAATAATTTATGCACACAGCTATTTACTGTACAATGTGCCTTATCACTAGGTGTGAGACTTAATTTTTACAGGACAACAGCATGGATTTCTACTACATAATGCCTCTGGCAGCAGGATTATTCCTGGACATTCCTGTTTCAAAAATAATCTTTACTACATTTTAAAAAATATTTGACATTTCCCTTTATAGCTGTGCAGTGTGGTAATCCAGGAACAACTGCTAATGGAAAAGTACTTCGTATTGATGGAACTACATTCTCTAATTCAGTAATTTATTCATGCATGGAAGGATACATACTTTCTGGATCCTCTGTAAGACAATGCACTGCCAATGGAACATGGTCAGGATCCTTGCCAAACTGCACAAGTAAGACACATCTCTAATAAATAGTCTTTGTTTTTCATCTCTGAAACACAAAAACAAATCAAAAAAAAATAAAGAAGTTGCATGCCAAATATTTTCAGCTTTCTCTTGCACTACTGCCTGCATAATTTTATACATTAAATACTTTTAAAAAATATAATGCTATGCAAATGTGAATAATATTTTTTTTGAAGACATGGTATAGCAAAATATATAGACTGCTGTTACAGTTCGTTCAAGGGAGTTGTATGGTTACACAACCTACCTACTTTGATTCTTTCTTGTATATATTTTAAATCTTGTTTATTATGCTTTGTGATATGTCATATTCAGACATTACTTTTTTAATGGCTTCTCTTCATCTTGAAGACTTAGCAGTATAATATTCCGGTCTTCCAGAGGGTGGAAAATAAAAACCTTTAAACCTTGCAATGGACACTTGAGAATTCTTTTTGTAGTGACTCCAAGGTCAAAACTATTGTCCTACTTTCATGTATCATCTTCTGTTTGGCCTCTTCATTAACCTTATACTTGCTTTGGCTACTCAGCTAACAGAAGCTATTTCAGCATCTCTCACATTCATAATAAGTATTTTGCAACACTATATTTTCAAGCCCATCTGTTCCTGCTTTATTACGTGTCCTAGTTCAACTTTAAGCAACAATTATGAAAATTTTACATTTATGTGATGCATGAGACTGGCTATTACTTTGAGGAAGTATGTCCTCATTAGAGGTATAGAAAAATGTTGTTTAAATTTTGAACACAAAGCAGCCCAAATAGAAGCCAAAAGCAAGATGATAAAACTTCTTATGTTGTTTTTAAATTGATCTTTAATAGTAAGCATGAGAAGAGCTGCTTTTGCAGTTATGAAACTTGAGAAAGAGCCCAATGTTTTCCTTTATTTATTATTTTCCAAATTCTAATGAGAACCAGATTAATCGTACCAAGGATAAAGGTGTTTTGTGACAGTAAATGTATTTTAGAATAACAATTTAGTGAAGTATATGCCAAAAGAATCTCCTCAAAACACACTGCTCAGGTAGAAACATGAGATTCTTGCTTAAAACCTGGAAAAAAGTCTTGACAGAGGAAGTATCCTAATCAAGCAAAGAGAGGGAACTTCAGGATGTGCCACTTTTCTTTAGTCCAGGTGTTATCAAAATTTACAGCCAGTCCATATTTATTACAGCTGCTTCTTGCACATGATTGAAAATGTTGATTTTTAGAGCTAATACTATAAGAATAGAATAGCATAATCTTATACCCCTTTAGACTCAGGAATCTCTGGGCATTGTACCATCAAACAAGATGGGTCCATGTGCAATATATCATGAAGGCCTTGCCCATAGCAAAGATTTTTCCCTTTACATTGTTCAAGTTATTGTAGGATTGTCTTAGAAAGAAACAACACTATCATTTCTACAGTCAAACAGAAACAATGTTCTCCTGGTATCTTCTTGTTGCATTACTAAATAAAAAGGTAGGACATAACAGTCAGCAGGGTCTAATCACTGATATTGAGTGAGGGCTGCCTGAAAGACCTCTGGTGCCATGAGCTGTCTGAGGTTGTGCCCTGACCAAGAGATCTGTGTGGCACAGCACAGGTCTGAAGGCCACAGTGGATGTGCAGCACAGTGCAGCACACACCTGGAGCTTGCCAGGTTAACTGTACTCCTCAGTGTACAGTGGTCCTCCAGTTAGGATCACTACAACAATTTAAGCTGGTTTTTGCCTACCACAGTGAATGAAGTGGAGGTGGTCCAACTGAAATGAAACAAAGATTGGAGGAAAAAAAGGGTAAAGGCATTAGCTTTATGTTTTAATTCAGTCAAAACAATAGCACACCTGGAAAAAATATTGAGGATGATTTTAGAAAAACGTGCACATCAATGATAGTGAATTGAATATATTTAAAAAAAAAGGAAGAATGTGCAGAGTATTTGAATATACTCATGTAACTAAGAGAAACAGTTCTGTCTTTCACAGCTCTGTATTATTTGAAAAAGAAAAGAAAAAAATTAAATGTCTGTGTTGCTAGGTAAACTAAAATAGGCTGATCTCCCATTTTCTTTTGCAGTGAACTAGCTACCTTTAGAATAACCCAGATAATCCTGTGATATGTTTTATATCATCTTCTGTAACCACAGACAGTGATTGCATGGGATATTTTAAGATTTGATACATGCCATATAATTAGCATCTGCTCACTCGGACTGGGATAAACTGTAGAGCAGGAATACTGCATATATCCTGGATTCTCAGGTCGCAAATTATTAGGTCAAGGGACCTGGCCAGAATACACTACAAATACGTAGTCATGGATTTTTGTGATTTTGGAGACCAGGATGCATCATCAGTCATGCTTTGGCATTGAGTTAGAAGTGGCCAGGATGTGCTTTCTGCCCAGGAAACTGCCTCCCGTGGTTTTCCAGAAACAATAGCAATATTGTAGTGAGTTTTACAAGTTTGCTGTAATACAAATGTGAAATACATGGAATGTTATTTTTCTGTATGAACTAGACTTTTTTCCCCCCTTTTTATTTTTTTCTGAAAACAACCACTTCTTATCACTGCAACTAGGGTTCTCAATGTTTCTTACCCTGAAAACTGTTCTGGAAATTTATAGATCAAACTTACCAGATCTGAGGAAATGTTACCTGTTTTAACACTATTCGCAGATTACAATGGTATAACTCCTTATTAATTCCTTTTGAACACTTTATATGATTAAGAGACTAAAGCATCTCCTGACACTAGAAGTCCCAAGAGGTTTTACAACAATTCCACTCATTAAAGTACTATAGACCTAGTTCTTAGGTAAGCTATAGCTCATGTTTGGGGGTTGTCTGAATATCTCATCTGTTTATGTGCACCACAACCATGTATGTGAGCATTTACAAAGTGGGAGGCTTTTGCAGACATGTATCTTAAATTTTCCAGATTGTGTTTCCTTTCAGAATGTACCCATGGAATGGTAAACTAAATAACAGGTATCTGCTTTTTACATAATGAAACTGATCTGATAGGAAAGCTTGAGAGTATCAAAGGGTGGTAGTGACATATGGATTATTTCTTGCACTTTTTAAAAAAAGAATTTTTATTTCATAAATGTGAAATTTGATTAATCAAAATTGTACAGTCCTTCACTTCTGCTGTTGAACAGAAATATTTGTGTTCTCCAAATATAACTGCTATACAGCTTCACATATGTTCGGCAGCTATTTAAAATGACACATATCTTCATGTTCTCTTGCTGAAGATTTATGCTTTTTTCCTTCTTCTTATTTTTAACCCAGTAAATGCCTAGTTTTGTCCTATGTTCTTCACCTCACATGTAGATAAATAACATGTAGATTTTAAAATATATTCCTCAAATATTTACTTGCAGTTATCAGTTGTGGAGATCCAGGAGTCCCAGCCAATGGCATGAGATATGGTGATGATTATGTCGTTGGACAAAATGTTACTTATATGTGCCAACCTGGATATACAATGGAAGCAAATAGCTCCTTAATTCGCACTTGCACTAGCAATGGCACATGGAGTGGAGTAATCCCAACATGCAAAGGTACAACATTTATTTTGCTTGTCATCTATTTCTTCTACGACATTTATATACACTGTGTATTGTAAATTGTTAATTTATCGTATATTTCTACAGAAATTAAAACTTACTTTCAGTATGAATATGCTGAATTGCTCTTTTGGGGGGCTGCAGGAACAGTGACTTCACATTTTGTTTCCTTTCCCTTCTATTTTTCATACAAACACAGTATGTTGAACAGTTTTTTATAGTTCTGTAGAACACTTTATTACTTTGCTGCTAAACTGAATTAAACAATATGAAATGATGGTTTAGATTGATTTGTTTGTTTGTTACAGTTAGCATGTCATATAGAAATAATCTGTATGTCCCTGACTTTACAAAAAGAACATTCAAACGTGATAGACATCTCTGGGGAAGATCTGCGTATGTACAACTGAACTTTGTCAAAGGCAAATTGTTCTGAATTACCCTATCTATAATACTAAGATTTTTCTCTGATCCCTCCTTTATTAGATGGGAGCCTTTAAGCATTGCCTTGCTACAAAAAGACTAAATCCTTCTAGCAAATTTCCCAATAAAGATTTTTCTGCTTCATTTTATTTTCTCTACTGTGAAAACTGAAAGGATTAATCTCAAGGTCCTCCTTTTGTCTCTTCATCTAATTGCATGTCGGATTTTCCTGGTTTGTTTTTCTTTGTTTATCTGGGTATTTTTTTAAAATATACCCTGTTGAAATTCAAACAGCAAAAATATCTGAACATTACTGAAAGACAACCTTATCTGTATCATAAAAGTATTTTCTCTGAGAAACTCGCTTGCTAAATCCTAAAATGACTTCTCTCTAGAGTAATTTTTCTCAGTCTTCCTGATAATACATCTGTAGAGAGGCAGAATTACCATTTTGATGTTTTCTTTCTGGATTCACACCAAATATGCCTGATCTCTAGTATTTCAAAACTTAATTGGCTAAGTTCGTACTTACTTTGTGCTTATCCATCTTCCTTCTGTTTTGTTTTCAGGAAGTATAGTAACATACCTGCTCAGCAGTTCTTGTTTTCCTCCCCTGAGTTAATTCATCAAAATAGATTAAATAAATTTCAAATCTCCAGCCTATTTGCAATTGCTTTCCTCTGAGTGCAATTCCCCCAATATCTTACCAAGTCCAGTTTAATGCTAATTTGCCTTGGATAATGTCAATTTTTTGAGCTATTTGCCCAGCACATTCTTGAGGATGTCAAACTTTGAGAGCCTCAACATTTCACTTTTTTTTTTCTTTTCTATTTCTATTGTGCTCTTAGGCAGCCTCAATTTCAATTAAAAACCCTAATTTTAGGAACAGAAGAATGGCCATACTGGTCCAATTGACCATGAGTCAGTCTGTCTGTCTCCAAGACTGTCTGGAAGTGAACAGTTAGAAGATCATAAGATAGAAAAAGTATTCATTCAAACAGAATCATAAAGAGTCATACTGTCAATTTAGAGTTTTTGAGTCTTTTTAGTTTTCGATCCTATCTATGTAAGGCTTGTTTAAATACTAAATATTAATCTGTAAATAAGAATCTCTAGTGGTCTCCGAATTTCATTCTACTCTAAATAGGTTTGTGTAAGTACACTAGGTAAGTTTCTAACCCCCACTTCTGACTGTGTAATTAGAAGTAATATACAATATGCAGTACTGTATTTGAAATGTATAACAATTAGTTCTTACTGTCAGAATGAAGTGCCAGGGTCCTTTTGTACTATTTAGTTAAAATAATTGGAAAATGAACTGGGCAGAAAATGGATGCATAATTGTCTCTGTGCCATTGAAAGAGAAGGCATAAATAAATCTCTGGCTATGCCTGGTTGGAAAACGATGCATGTTCATCTGCAACTAAATATTCAGATATTCAAGCATTGTCTTTTTTTTTCAGAGTTGCATTTGTAATACCCTTGTAGTTCTTAAACTGACAAAACTTGCTGTACATGTTTATGGCTAACTCTCTCAATAAAATAGAGAGGCATTCTGGCTTGTTGCTGGGTGTTGTTTTGTTTTGCTTTTCTCACCCCAGAAGTCTGATATTACAACTATATTGATGCTACTTCTCTATCCTTTCCCAATTATTCACAGTTATTTCCTCCTTTGTTAGTCAGCTCAGTAGTTAGTAAAGATATACAGACCTTTTTATAAAGACCATTTATGAAGCTCTTGGAGAGTAAGGACAGACTTCTGCTGCTTGGAACACTTATTTTGATTTACTTTTATTAGAACACCACAGAAGTGTGGCAAAAGCTATTATGTCCTTTTCTGGGACAAAATCGGGGCCCAAAATTCATATTTGGTTTACCAGTTGGCAAAGGGTTATTTGATAAGAGTACTACTTTCATTCAGAATTCTCAAACACCCATTAATGGTGCTGCAGAATGTCTTTATGGTATTCATAGTTGAAATTCTCTCACTGAAGAGTGTAAGACTAGAGAAATGGTACATAGTGAACATTCTGCAGATCACATTCAAATACACATTACTCCTCATCTACTTTCTCTGACTTCTTTTGAGCCTGCAAGATGACAGCTGTCTAAACATAAGTTTAAGGGTTATGGATGTAGCATTTAACTTCCTCCATTCTTGTGACCTGTGTATCCTCTGCTTGATTTTTAATCACCAGATCTTCTCATTTACCCTAATTAAATAAATCAATTTTAAATTAAATTAAATCAAATCTATAAATTTTATTTGCTTTTGCTAATTTTCTCCAATTTTTTTCCAATTTTTCTCTCCTTTACCTGTTTTATCTGTCTCAGTCATTCTAGTAACTGTCTAAATTTCATCCCTTCTCTTTCTGATTCAGATTTTCTTTAATTTTATTTCTTTTATACCTTTTTTCCTTTCAGTTTTCAGTTATCAATTGTCTTCTAGTATACCATTGTCCCATGAATGATGCTTTTATCTTCATCATGATAATTGTATTTCTTTATTTCTACTGTCATCCTCGTGATATTTTTCAGTCCTCTTCCTTACAACTGAGTACATGTAGAGGCCTGGAAATGAGAAACTATACTGAAATACTTCTTGTTGGCCTTCTTAGAGGTAGTAATACTAAAAATTGCAACAGGTTGCAAATCCTGACATTTTTTCCCTCTAGCTAGGGATCTAGATGCTTTTTGGTGAGGAACTATTCACAAAGCAGATACTAACCAAACTGTCATACTTAGAAACAGGCTTTTAAATAATGTTTTGGAACAGTTATCCTGGAATTTCATCCCTAGGCATTAATATCTAGCAAACGCCTATGCTGGTTAACAGGAATAAAGTATAATTGTACTAAGTTGCCATGGCAAACAAAATAGTTTTGTAGTATACTATCAGACATATCTGAAATGTTGTACACGTCATAGCTTCTATACTGATTTTTAGGTAGTCTTCCTATTTGGTTTGATGCTGCATCCCAGTTTATTTAAGACACTTCATCAATCAGCCACTGCCTCCTAAATGGAGAAAACCAGAAGTACTAAGTTCAAGTAATGTGGTGAGGATACAGTGAGAAAGATAGCATGTTCTGACTGTATTGTCCTCTGAAAGAGGTGAAATTAGCCCATATGGTTCTTCTCGTAATTGTGTACACTGGGGATATCTACAGCATCTGGGCCTAATTATTTTGAATATTATTGCAGCTGTTACCTGCCCAACTCCTCCGCAGATCTCTAATGGAAGGTTGGAAGGAACAAACTTGGACTGGGGATTTAGCATTAGCTATGTCTGCTCTCCAGGATATGAACTCTCTTTTCCTGCTGTTTTGACTTGCGTTGGGAATGGAACATGGAGTGGTGAAGTACCTCAGTGCTTGCGTATGTATTTACTATTTAGTTCTGTATTTTGCTATTCAACTATAGTGGGGTTTTCCTCTTCAAAGTTTTTGTCTTTAGCCCTCTCAGTCCCTTCTCACCCCACCTTCCCACCCCAGTGTCTCAATTAATTTCAAACCTGGGACAATTGCAATCCTTCTGAAAATTCCTAAAATTTTCAGGAATTTTAATATAATTAGTAGACTGAGGAAGGCGTAAGAATGTCTGTAAATCCTTTGAGAGCCTATAGGAGTTCTTAAACACGAACACAGAAACAATATTACAGGCAACATGTACCACATGATACAAGGCAAACTAAGATTAAAGGGTTCTGTCTAGTTTTCTGATCCAGTTACATGTAGAATGGGATAATGTTCATTATAATCTCTTTTATTTCCTCATTACTCTTCCAAAACTTTCTGTGATGACACAGAGAAAGTTTTCTTCCAGTAATGCCGACTAGGCCCCAGGGTGAGTCTGTGAGAATTGTCTATTTTCCCCACTACACTAAATTAAGTTATATATTTTATGCAGGAAACTGTCTTAATCTGAAAATTATTACATTGATGGATTTTTCTATTGCTACAAATTTCATTACAATAGCAGATTCCACTCATTATTTAAAAAAATCCTTTTAAAGAAGTGATTGTGATACTTCTGAGAGATATTCTTTTTATTGCACTGAAGGAAGTTCTCTAGTTATTCATAGAATAGCTATATCACTGTAATGATCTTGCAAAAGAGTTTGACTGGAAGAGGATAATCTCATATTTGTGGCTTTACAATTTCTGAAGTGAGCTTGCTGGGTAACTTGCTAAATGTAACAAAATGCACTTCTCTGTTCAATTCTTGGTTTTTTGCCTTTTTCATCTCTCTCTTTCAAAACTTTTGGCTATATCCTGCTACTATGAAAACATATCATATAGATCATCTTTTCTTTTCTTTTTTCTCCTAATTATATTCTCATATCATCAGCAACAGTTGCTTAGTGCTGATGACACTGTATGTGCCAGAGGTGGAACATGGTGAAAGACATTGTTTCTAGAAGGAAACCTCCACCATGTTGCTTAAGTTCTCTATGTGAAGCTCTTCTGTAGTCCACTATATTATGAACATCAAAGGCCATGAAAAAATTTTTTTTCATTTTTGAGATTGAAGTACTCAGTACTACAATATACTCTGAAAAAGTGGGCTCCACCTTTAAACTTTTTAAAAGGTATATTTAGCACAGAATGCAGCTGCCTGGGAATTAATGGCTGTTTCATGCAGAGATTACATTAACTGAATGTTGTTGATGTGCAGTGGTTACCCATTGGCTTGCAAGAGAAATCAATTGGCAGCCAGTGCTCGTCAAAGAGCTTAAACTAGCTGCCATCTGGCAGAAATGAGAGTGAGCTGGTGAAAGTCATTCTCAATGAGCAATCTTTAAGCAGTTCTTGACATCAGATATTTAGTTCCCAGCTTGGTTCCATAGAGCCTGTAGATGAAAATATGCAAGGTATAGTTATGATATGGAATAATTATTCATAATGGAATGTGGTCATGTCCTTAGCTGAGTGTTTGTCATCTACGACCCAGTAAATTTGTTTGCATAATTACTCATGCAGTAATTTCAGTAACGGACTGCTGTTTCTATAAGCTTGGCAATAGATGTCAAAAATGCTGGCCTATGCCTGAAAATTCCAAACTACAGATATAACTTAGAATCATAGAATTATCACAGAATCATAAAATCTAATGAACTGGAAGGGACTCACAAAATTGATTGCAATCCAACTCCTGACCCTGTGCAGAACAGCCCAAAGAATCACATCATGTACCTGAGATCTTGTCCAAATGTTTTTAGAACTCTATCAGACTTCATGCCACCACCATTTCCCTGGAGAGCCTGTTCCAGTGCCCAACCACCCTCTGGGCAAAGAACTTTTTTCTGATATGTGACCTAAATCTCCTCTGACACAGCTTCATGCCTTTCCCTTGCGCACGGTCACTGGTCACAAGAGAGAAGAGATTAATGTCTGCCCCTCCATTTCCCCTTGTGAAGAAGCTGCAGACCATTATGAGATCTTGCCACAGTTTATTCTCCTTTAGACCGAAGAAGTCAAGTGACCTCAGCCACTCCTTATATGTCTTCCTTTCAAGGCCCTTCACTTTCTTAGTAGGCCTCCTTTGGACATTTTCTAGTGACTTTATGTCCTTTTCATATAGTGGAGCTCAAAACTGCTCACAGCACTCAAGGTGAGGCCACACCAGTGCAGAATAGAGTGGGACAATCACCTTTCTTGGCTGGCTGCTGATGTTGTGCTTGATGCATCCCAGGACACAGTTGGCCCTCCTGTCTGCTAGGACATACTGCTGACTCATATTCAAATTGCCATTGACCAGGACCCCCATAATCCCTTTCTGCAGCACTGCTCTCCAACAGCAGTTCCCCAGTCCATATGTACATCCAAGGTGGTCCATCCCAACTGCAGAATCCAGCACTTGCTTTTGTAAACTTCATATGGTTGATGATTGCCCAGTGCTCTGATTTGTCTAGGTCCCTCTGCAGGGTCTCTCTGCATTCAAGGAAGTCAACAGCTTCTCCCAATTTAGTGTCATCAACAAACTGACTTTTGAGTTCAGGTGTTTTAGGAATCTTCTGGACCTGTCTGTACCAGCTGTGTGGTATTCACAGCTAACATCTGGCAAGTTGAAGTCCTCCATAATCAACAGCAGTTGATTCAGAGGTCTCCCTTAGTTCATTAAAGAATAATTTGGCAGTGTTGAAATCTTGGCTGTGTGGCTTATAGTAGACTCCCATGATGATATCTATTTTATTTGTGTGTTCCTTAATCCTTACCCACAGAGTCTCAACATGCCATTACTAACTGCAAGCTCTGCCACCCTTGCCCCCACCACCCATACCCCCTATCTCACCTGCTCTGTCTATCCCTCCTGAAAAGCGTGTAACCCTCCATCCTGGCACCCCAGTCAGAGGACTCATCCCACCACGTTTCACTTATGCCAAGGATATTGCATCTCTGGAACTGAGTCAAGGCTTCTAGCTCCTCTTGTTTACTCCTCATGCTGCATGTCTTGGTGTAGAAATGTTGCAAGTATTGTTCATTGTACCCAGCACCTCATGGAGCAGACTGAAGGATCTCACTAGAATGGAATTCCTCAAAATTTGGTATGCCATCCCATTGCTTATCACTAGTGAGCCTCATTTTATCCCTTTTCTTTTCCACTGTAGTTTAAAGCTCTGTTGATCAACCCTGATAACTCCTACACAAAAATCCTTTTTCCTCAGCCTGATCAACTCCTCACGAAGCCCTGTCACCAGGGCTGCTGCCACCAGCAGCTCTTCTTCCTGGGCACATGTCACACAGGTGTGCTCACGCCTGCCATCAGACACTGACATAAAACTTGCTGTCAATCAGTTACGTTTCTCTTAAGAATGAAACTAGGCTCACAGACTCAGTGCTAGAGCTCCATGGCCCTGCTCAGTTAAAGGTTCTCAGAGTTCTCAGGAAAATATTTCTATTGGGAGTGGGAGCACACACAGAGCTTCCAGTTTGCCACAACTTTAGTTTGTTCTGTAGCTTTCTGTTCCAATATCAGAGGAAAACCGCTGTTTTAACACGATTTCTGGTTTCCAAGGTTTCCTAAGGCAGATATTGAGTTGATATTCAATGACTGGAAAAAGTTGACTGACATTTAAGTGATGGAGTTTACTTAGTTTTAGAAAAAAATAATTAATTTACCCCAAAACTCTAAATTGCTTCTCCCTTTATAGTTGTTGCTACTTTGTTGATGCAGAGAGCTGTTCAGGAGACAATTTCAAGCTCCTGTGTTAAAAATGTATAGGTGTTTCATGTATTTTCAATTTAAGATACAATTTTCTAGTGAAAGGCTATTACAAACATTCACCTCATTCACACGATATACACTGTGTGGCACTATCCCAATTCATAAATCTTTTCAGAATTTGGCCTATAATTCTGCAGAAGGTCCCACTAAAAGTGATGAAATTCTATATATTTCTGGTACATTACCAATTAAGCCCTTTTTCTTCAGCAATATGTATGTTCTGTACAGTCAGTGCCTGTAGTAAGAGATAGAATGCAGGAGCATTTCATGTGAGCAGGTCCTTTGGAAATGTATTTTGAAAGTTGTTGTTTAAGAGATGTAATTTAAATTTTTTTTGTAGAAGAGAAAGATGGAGCACAAAATTCCACTGTCTGTACAGCATACCTTTTAAGAAAAATATAATTACACACATAGGATTGCTGGTTTTTTAAAAATTGTTATTATTGTAGTATTTTCTGTTTGATATGAAATTAGACTCCACATTATTGGAATTCATGGTGTCAGGGAATAATATAGTCTGATGACACACCATAGCTGATTTAATTTCCTGGACCAATTGTTCAAAATCCAGCTTCTGACAAATAATCAGTACTTTATATTGCAGAAGAAGGCCAATACATTTGCCAGCAATGCATTTAATCAGTTATAATATGTTATAGACATAAGGAATCTCTGGTGAAAGGTAAAAGTAAAAAGAAGAAGAGTACATTCTTATTAGTAAAATTTATAGCAATTTTATATATATATAAAGTTATTAGTATTTGACTTTTAGATTGCTGCTGAAGTTTCTTCATTATGTTTTGGTTTTTTTATTGTTAGCTGTAACTTTCTGGTGTGCTTTCATACATATCAAATCTCATCGTTCAGTGAAGGATGAGGAAGTAAGACTGTGCTTCCTAAAATCTATCTAACAAATCCTTTAATGATACAAAAATGTTGAGCACTGGGTAGGTGGCAAAAAGCAGGAGAGGATAGGAGATTGACATGAAGGTTTGTTGCTGTCATTGCTCTCCTAGGAGAGTTAGCAGATTGATGTGGTTTAGGGCAGAGTTGAACTGTGGATATTTGGACCTTGATAAAATCAGTTTTCAACTTCTTTTATTAAGTGCCAGGTACTGACCAATCCCACTATGTGGGCATTTTGAACAACCAGAAAAACTACTGCAAACTGGCAGTCTAAAGAATGGCTATCTAGACTCTCTTTGAATGGCTGTTACATTTTTCCCTATTTGATCTGTGTTTAATAAAATAAATACAAAATTTGAAGTATTTGCTTTACTGAGTTCATCTAAGTGCTATATCTGTTTATTTTAATAAATTGCACATTCCATTTCTATCATGTCTTTTTTTTACAGCAAAGTTCTGTGGTGACCCTGGAGTACCTGCTCAAGGGAAAAGAGAAGGCAAAAGCTTCATCTATCAGTCAGAAGTCTCTTTCAGCTGCAATTCTCCTTTTATTTTGGTTGGCTCCAGTACCAGGATTTGCCAAGCAGATGGCACATGGAGTGGTTCTTCTCCTCGATGTATAGGTATTGTTAAACACATGTATTTAAATTTCTATAAATGCTTATTATTCCTTTTCCTACTATGTCAATTTAGGAGTTTTCAGCTATTTTAAATTATCCTGGTGCTCTTCTATACTGTCTAAGAATCAAGACACTATTTTTTCTCAATGACTGGCTTATTGCATGTTGTTGTTACATTGCATTTTGTGATACATTGATGTATTTCATTAAAATACTGCAATTTGTTTTGTCTTTATTGTAATTTATTTTTTTTAAGAGCCTACTCGCACAGCATGTGAAAATCCAGGAGTCCCAAGACACGGATCACAAAACAACACATTTGGCTATCAGGTATAGCATATAATTTTTTTATTAACTTGCATGTTAAAAGTTTTATACTACCTCAAAGTCTAGAAACTTCTGATTAGAAGTTCAAAAACTGTCAGTGTAAGAGCTATTCACTGCTGTGTTGCTGTGTTTCCTTATTCCTAGCTGTTGGATTACAGTGACCTTGTGTCCCTATTAGCAATGCGCTACATGAAAAACTGGTGATCAAGCTCTGCTTGATTTCACATTGAAGGCTTTCAGTACCTCCCACCAATATAAGTGCTCCCTAGTTTATCCTAGTTTATCAAATAGTTTTTTTCTCCTTAAAAGTGTGTATACTGTGTGCCAAACTGCTAGTGTAGATGTACTCTAAAAAATGGGAATGCTTTTTTTCCTGAGAGCAATTCTGTTGATACATTTGAATTACAGAGTCACAGAGGTTGTTAGGCATCTCTGAAGAGCTACTTGTCCAACTCCTCATCTCAAAACAGGTTGATCAGGGCTGTGTTGAGGTGGTTTTGAATATTTCCAGGCATGGACACTGCACAGTCTGGGAACAACTTAGCAACCTGTTCGAAGTTTATCACCTTTATAGAGAAAGTGAATGCTTTTTTCTCAGTTTTAAACAGAATTTCCTGTTTCAATTTGTGCCTATTTCCTCTTGTTCTGTTACTAGGCACCACTGAAAAAGATCCATCTCTGTTGCCCGTGTTTTTGCAGGCTGGATAATCCCAGCTCTTTCAGCTACTCCTTGTATTCCAGATACTCTAGTCCCTTAATCAACTTTGTGGCCCATCACTAGACTCAATAAAATATGTCCACATCTCTCTTGCACTGGTGAGCCTAGCAGTGGATCTAGCACTCACTTGTGTATCACCAGGGCTCAGCAGAGGGGAAGAAGCACCTCCCTCAACCTGTTGGCAATGCACTGCCTGAAGCATCCCAGGAGGCTCTTGGCCAACAAGGCTGTGTTGTGGAAAATGGTGCTTGCATATATTTCTGTTGGAAGAAGAATTGTGAAATTCAAAATTATTTTGAACTTCTGATTTTCTGGAGTTTCACATAAAACAGTAATGTCATGAGACATGTTCAGGGGTGAATTGTTTACAGATGCAAAAACACATGCTATAATTTACCAGAAACCTTGCAAAGAGAGAGCCTAATCTATCCTGCTCTGACCATGCTTGGTGTCAGGGATGAAAGCTCCAGATGTATGAAGAGGACTGGACAGGAATGTAGTAGCTCCACAGTTGTATGAGGTGCCTGTCTAGTAGCAGGATTTGATTAAGAACTGCAGATTGCTAAAAGTGCAGTACAGGGTTGAGTGAAATTTGAATAAATTTACAACATGAAACATGTTTTTAAAAGTAAAGGTCGTACCTATAGACTTTTCAAAGTTTCACAGCCAAAAATTTATTTGTTTGATCTATTGGTGGCCTTTATGCAGTACTGCTCCTGTTTGGTGATTGTTTAAGGCAATATTTGGGTCTTCAGATTGTGCTAGATCACAATCATATGTGAGTGGTAATAAAATTGTCTCAGTTTTCTCCAGAGCATGGAGTGCTGTTTCGTGCCAAGATAGAATATGCAGGAGCAGTCCTTGGGCTAACTTCCTTTGGTTATAATGCAATATTATGCTACAGGGCAATTCTTTATTCAGTTGTGTAAGAAATAAATAATTGTAATGACCATTTTCTACAATTCTATTGTCACAGTTTCACATATTAATGTGCCTTCTCTCATTGAAAAGCTAATGCAGTCTTTCTCACTTGTGGTGAAGTTGTAGTTTTGAGTAAAAACATCACTCACAGCTAGCATAGAACTGTCAAAATATCAGGCAAAATGTCAATTGATAATTTCTAAAAGTGCAGCTGCTGGCAGAATTTGCAACCTTGTAAATTCTAGAACAATGGTTCTAAACAGTTGTAAGGTTAGTGCTTAGTATATTCAAGCTTCATGAGCTATAGTCTATTTACCTAGCCAACAGTATATCCTCACACTCATGTAGTGAATGTATGCAGTGACTAAGCATGCAAGTTCTGTTTATTCCAAATATGATTGCTTTGTTAATACAGAACAGGATAGAAGTATTATTCGTACAGATGAAGCTGAGATTAGCTATTATTGGTTGGAAACAGCAGTGAAAGTGATTGTTTCTAGACAAGTTATTGTCTGTAGATGCTGAAAAGAAATATTGCATTGCTGTATGTTCTATAATGTTATGACTCATTTAAACCACAAACATAAATTAATTAATGTTATGCTATAATTAACTTCCTATATGAATGGAATAATAATGACTTTTGTTTCTAATCATAGCAGAAAGGTAAGAAATAATTCAACATTTTTCTAAAATACTGAAGATGAGACGGCTTAGATTTTGATTTGTCTGATAGACTCATTGTCTAACATTTAAAACAATAGACCAAAAGAGCTTATGCAAAATTGAACAAAATGTTTTGCAAATGGCAAATGCATAGCAAGGAGTTGATACTGTTGAATAGATAACAAGGGTTTCTGACTAGCACAGGGTGAGGGGTTTTTGTTGGTTTGCTGTTTTGTTTTTTTTCTCATTTAAGGGTTTGTTTGCTTTGTTAACTTGTCAATGTCAGTGACTGACACATGTTTTTCAGAATACTGATGTGAAGTCATGAACCTCCCCAGCACTGTTTTTTGTTCTTGTTGTTTCCCCTACTCTTGATTATGTTTTCCTATCTCATTGATTGCATTGAAAGTTCAGCCAAACACAGCGTAATTCCAGGCTTGACTGAAAGTTGTATCACATCTGAATGGTGTTTCAACTATTAAATAAAGAGCTGTGTAGAAAAGAAGAAGCAGCAGAAATTTGTATGGATTTTACTGTTCAGTATTGGCTACTTCAGGCAGGAGCAGATCAGATTCTTATGTGTTCAAATAACATCAAAATACCAGTTTAGTAGTACTTGGATATCAGGCATGGCATGTAAATTAGGAGCATCACTTGCTTTAATTATACATACTTCTAGGATGTTTACCTTTCATCTGAGCATATTTTTATTGGACCGATCTACCTTAACAGTGTGTTACAACGGAGATAAAATACCTCTAAAATTTAGTTAACACTGACTTAATCTGTAATCTGGAAAATAAATTCCTCCTTGGAATGAAACTGTGGAGTTTGAAATATTTCTTCAGCTATGTTGCTAGTAATATAGGAATTGCTTATAGCAACTGCACCATAAGGTGTTGCAACGCAAAAAACTACTGAGTTGAAGAAACACTTTAGAACTGCTTAGACCAATCAGTCATATAGGGAAGATTTATTGCTTCTCATACTATTCCAACATACATTTTTGTAAAAATTCAGCCATTTCCCCCTCCATTAAGGCCTAAATTGAGCCAAGGGGCAGTCTGAGTTTAGGAAAGGGAAAAAAGCACATTACTGTAGAGGTAGCTCTGTTAGCTCTTTGGTTCTATTTTATGAAATGCCATATGAAACTTGATCTGCCGACATTGAGCAACCTTGCAAGTAGTCTCCTTCTGTGAATGTAATGCTTATAAAAACTTTAGTGTTGATTGAATCATAGGATGAAATTCCAAGAGAAGTGTTCTACTACCACAGTGTAGCTGTCTCCATTAGCACAGTTGGCACCATCACTGCATCAATGAAAATGTAATTTAAACCTTATCAGACACCATGTAATTTTCCCAGTTCCTTCTGTTTCTCACAATCCTGAGATATCTGGTGTCAATGAGGGATATTAGTGTCACAATCTGGAGTGTTTCACTGCCAGGAATGTGATTTTTCCCTTTTTATTTCTCTTTTAGTCTCTGTCATATGTGACTCACCTGGAATTATTTATAATGTTTCTAACACTTTTGAACCACTCACACTGCAGCGACACAATATATTTCATAGAAATAGATACTTGTTCTTTTTTTACCCCTGAAACCGGATTCTTTCCAGGCCTGCCTGTCTTTATATGATCATGGGTGAGTTGTTCACAGCAGCAAGGTCCCCAGTGCCAAGTTCATGTTGCATCTCTTATCAGTCACACCTGTAGTCTTCACAGCATCCTGTTTCATTTCTTAAGGGCTTTGCTATCATTCCAACACCAGGCCTGTATTTCTCTGTACCACATGACTTTAGTGGTAAATAGCTCATTCTGCACATAGTAGATTCATTTTTTACTGCTAGAGATAAAAACTTGTGGTTGTACCATACAAAGATAAAAAAGGGATAAAAACTAGTCATAGCCTCCTGATCACAGGAAAATTGGATTTTACAGTTAAACCAAGTTTAAAAAAAAACAAACACAAAACAAACACAAAACAAACACAAAACAAACACAAAACAAACACAAAACAAACACAAAACAAACACAAAACAAACACAAAAGCCTCTGCGATCTTGCAAACTCAAAACCCTGTTACTAGTAGTTGCACTAATGTGTTACTGGGCTACCAAACTACTTAATGGGATGTGTTTTCATTTACTTAAAATACATGCTAAAATTTAGTGAAGAGAAAAAAATGGCATTCCCTTAGTGTCTCACTCCTTTGACATGAATTGCTGGGAATGGAGAAGTTTGTTAGAGTATCTTCATGTTCTTGCAAACTCAAAACCCTGTTACTAGTAGTTGCACTAATGTGTTACTGGGCTACCAAACTACTTAATGGGATGTGTTTTCATTTACTTAAAATACATGCTAAAATTTAGTGAAGAGAAAAAAATGGCATTCCCTTAGTGTCTCACTCCTTTGACATGAATTGCTGGGAATGGAGAAGTTTGTTAGAGTATCTTCATGTTCTTTGGTAAACTGATGTTTGTGAAAGAAAATGATTGTAGCGTAACTCATGAAAGGCAGACATATCTTCTGTTCCTTATAGAAGAATAGAAGTAATAATAATAATAATAGTAACTTATTATTATTTTTTATAATTATTA